TGGAACTCGTGAACGTGAACGCCCCATGTGCCACGTGCCAGGGGGGGTGAGCAGCTAACTCATGAATGGAAATGTCCTCCTCAGGGTGGATTGGACCTCATGTGGAACAGGGTTGCACCATCTTGCACCTGGAGAATGTCAAAGAAGCGGAAAACGTCCACGGCTTTCAGTGATTCAGGTGGTCCCACCCAACTGGATTTTCAGCGACACCCACGACAGCTGCTTGGCATGCTCGGGCATGCTCGGGCAGGAGGATTGGGCACTGTGGGGTGACTTTGGGCCATGGGGGGCTTAGATCTCAACACAGGTGTCACCATCCGCACCCTTTGCGGCGCTCGGACACATCTCTTGGGCCTGCCGAGAGTCTATGAATGGATTCCTCTATCGTATCTCCGGCCTGGGTCCTTGACCCATCTCCAAGCATCAAAAATATATCCATCCAGTCCACTCCATCGGATTTTCGTGCCTTCGTCGAATGGACGCACGCAGTTGGATCAGTTCTCATGCAGTTCTGAATTTTGTTTGGGTGCAACGCGCATCAACGGAAGTTCTAGATTTGCACAGTTCCGTACCAGGGCCTCCGAGTAGGGGGTCAAATCATAGCCAATTGGAGATGAGTCAGGGTGTCCATGAACGACCCTTTAGCTGGCCCCGGTATGGGTTGCTAAGCGGACCCAAGGTTGAGCTAAGGTAGAGCGCTTGTATGTCATCAGGTGTTTGCTTCACGCTTGCACTGTCAGGATCATGTGCTACTCCTTTTTTACTGCTCTTGATGGGTCACCGGAATTGGCTCAGATCCCAGGTCCATCCTGAGCAGGTTTAGAACGAAACCATCAGAGCGACCTCACCCAGCGACCTGCGACATCGTTCGCACCCATGGACCTACCATGTGGGTCAGCTAAGGCTAGGAGCAGTTTTAGGAACTAACACTTTTGGGGAGGCCCATGGTACTTGGATGGGGCCAAAACACAGTATAAGGAGTCCCAAATAGATCGAAATGGTTTCGGATGCTACTTTTCTATCTATTCGGGGTCCGTATGCACTTCCCCAGTATTTTTGATGAGTGACCTGGCCAGAGGATGCCAGAGGTGGATTCCAGTCCATGAAAATTCCTCCTGATATCCTTGAGATTTCAACACTGCACTCCAGCTAGACACCTGTGAGGTGACGTGGTGGCAGCCTTGCGAGAGGTTGGCATTTTGGAGGAGTGGCCTGGCAAGGAGCGATCAGGATTTTCAGGAAGGAGGGTTTCAGAGCCCGGTTAAATAGTTGTGGACCATACCCTAGGGCTCCAACTACCTCCCGAGAAGATGGTTATGGTGGGATTAGGGGGTCTAACCACCGAACCTGAGGATATGGGCCAGGAGCCCTAGGGACTGTTGGTTTGATGTGGTTTTAACTTTTCACCGCTCTATTTTAGCTTGGTGACGCCCAAATCCGACCAGACACCCCTCTTTTTTCGGGTGACCGTGACCGTTCGGTTGAAACGTCTCGAAAGTCCGCTGAGGCAGCAGGGCTTTTGGGCCTCGATCTTCCCAGAGAGCGAGATGCGGGCCGTTCAGCGGCTCACAACATGCCAGTACCTCGACGATCGGAATATCGTCCGCGAAATGAGGGTTCTAAGAATGATTTTGCTTCATACAATCACACACAGATATCAGACATCCCAGACACTCCATGAGACTGGCATATAGTACCAATATGTACCAATCAGTTGGGGCAATGTAGATAAATATGCCAGTCTCATGGAGTGTTTGAGTATATCTGAGTGTGGGGGGCCAATGAGTCACACAAGTCTTGGTCTACAGTAGTTTCAGAGATTCGATGGCACGTTCGTGACCCCAAGTTGGGTGGTGCAACTATGGACCCCCCATCTGTCGACAGGACATCTTGGGGTCTGTGCCATCGAACCTCTGCAACCACTCTATATTCTCCTTTTAAAACCCCAAGATCGTGGCCCAAGGTCTGTCCCAAGTAGTGACGTGCATTGGGAGATGGATGAAACAGACAGACCCAGCGATGGTTGCTTAGGGGGGCCCTGTTTTTTGATGTATATAGTAAATTACATTAATTGGGTTTGATGCCTTCAAACCCCTTTCACGAGATTTGTGGATCTGAACCTTGCAATCTAAGTGTATATGCACCTTGGCTGCCGAACTGAGCAACAGTCAGACCACCCTCTTCAGATGAGTAGGAGAGCAAGCCAAGCTTGAATCAGTTGTCAGGGCTGAACACGGTTTCCAGTTTCCTGGTTTTGCTTAAGATGTTGTTCGTTTTTTCTTTTCCCTATGGTTCAATCCCGTTCTGGGGAATATCTTTTCAGGCTCCTCAAGCAAATCCAAGCATTGGATTTGTCAGCTGACTTGAGCAACATCTTAGAGTTCTTGCAGAGTTCCATGGGGAGAGAGACAGAGAGAGAGAGAGAGAGAAAGAAAAGGGAGCCTCCGACAAAGTAGGATGGATTGCATGCTTCCTAAACCCTTGGATGCAACAACATGTGTTACACAGGATTTGGGACAACACCAGGTTTGTCCCATTCGAATGGTCGAACTGAAGGAGACCACATCAAAGCACCCTCCAATTGACTATGGCGCCACTTCGGACGCCGGACTCGCACAGCGCCAGCGCGGACAGGCGAGCTGCTTTGGCGAATGTGCGCTCCAACGCCTCTTTGAACCATGAGCCATGGCGAGTTCGGTTTTGTTTGAGATTTTTGACACAGCTTGGCTATTTGCGAAAGCAGTTTTGTGTTTGTCCGCTGGCCGAGGCTTGGGGTTTGACGTTCGTTTTTCGCGTTAGACTCTTAGACTTCGAGATCTTCCAGGGGCAGAATCGGGCAGAATGAGCACCATGTCAATCTGAGGAGAAAGCCATGCCAGAGGTACGTGACCGCTTCGCGAGGCAGAGGGTGAGGGGCACGGGGTGGGGGGGGGTGAGGTAGCAGATGGTTTGGGGATCATTTGGGCCTCTTCTGGGTTGCAACCCAGGCAGAGAACACATGCACATAGTGTCAAACATTAATTAGGTTTCAAAAAGAACCTGATGCTAATTAGGTTGGGAGCTGTCCTGCATCGATCGGGGGTGTGAGTCCGGATGCTCCATTAAAAGCAAGTGAGATGAGATCGCCACCCAGCAGGGGCACGTGGAGGAACTTGAGATAGCAAAAGAATGGTCGACCATGTTTGGGACCACGGACGGATAGCAACCTGAACCCGGGTCACCTAGTCAAAGCATGTTTAAAATGGTCGATTGACTGGACTCTCAGAGTTTTCAGGGATGACGTGCCATCACACAGGTGATCACAGGTGTGGATGGATTCACTCCGCGTTTGGTTCCTTTGAAGGCTCCATCGATGCTGACAAACTGATAAGAATGCTTTGAGAAGGCAAGTGGTTTGGAACCGAGAAGTCTCAAGACCTTTCTCCCTTTAAGGTAACTACCCAGACACTCCATGGGACTGTCATATTCATTGGGGTGGGCCATGAATTTGTCTGCAGTCCTATTAAGCTCGCGTCTGGGTGATGAGACCTGTCTTGATCGAAGGGGGGGCTTTCTCAGATTGAATCACCCCGACGCCTGGCCACATCCGTTCAACCCTTTTGGCCTGAAAAATCATCGCCGCGTCGCGTCGGCCGTCTATAGGCTGGGCTATGGCGAAGATGAGCTTCAGGGTGTGCTGGGCTGGATTCAGGATTTGGCGCCCATGTGCACCTTGGCGCCTGGCCGGTCGGTCTGTTCTCTCGGCTCCCCACCTCTTCCACCGCCCGACCTCTCCACCTGGCGCCGGGGCGGTGCAGCTGGAGGCGACCGTCGTAGAAGCCGTTCCCCCGAGGCATTCACATCCACATCGACGACGTGGGGCGGTTCTTGGAAACGGACGAGCCGCTTGGGGCCGAGACAGGAAGGGACCCTGCAGTGGTGTGTCGTGAAGCTCCCGTTGGGAGCTTCATCGCGCGTGGACCGGGCTGGGATGGGGCTTAGCCAATGCTTGGAGACCAGTCGGATTGGCCAATCTGTATTTCCAAGCAGGGATGAGTTGAGAAACGACCCGCCGCAAGAAACCGGTCCCTTAAACACGGGCATTTGAGGGCCCACCCCTGCCATGCAGGGTCCCCTGCCATGGAGGGCGCAAGGGTTCTTAGGCAGTCGATGACCTCCAAGAGGCGCCAACTCCTGGGCGGCCAGGCGGCCAGTAGCCTTGCATTCAGGGTTCCACACCAGCGGCTTTGGGGCGTGAAATGGACGCACTATAGACTAAACTAAACCATACTAAACCAGTTAAGTAGTGACTGGTATAGTGGTGTCCCATGGTGTCCCCATCTTTAGATACATGGTCCATAAGGTGGTGTGGCCAGGGGTGTCCTCCCAAAAGAGAACTCCAAACAACATCTACCTGCTTCTTGGTCTACCAATTCTGACGAATGTTTTTTTCTTGATGCACTGAACGAAGCCAAAACCGACGTTCGAACATAAGGGGCGTCGCTCCTCTGAACTTGGGCTTGACCAACCAACGAGGCATTCTATTCGGCCGTCCCCTCCCGGAAACGCCGCCGCGGACCCAGAAGAAAAGGATGCATGCAGACTCCCCTTCTTCATGACTTCATGTCCAACCCAAAAACCACCCATTGATCACCATCATCACAGTCATCGCCCACATGGTCCCGTCCCGACACCCAAAAGGGGCGCTCCAACCCCTCGACGCGACTCTGGTATGCTCTTGTCGACGTGGAGTGCAGCGCTGGAGGTTCTATCGCAGCCAGTTCGAGACCGGGACCTCTTGCGGAGCGCTGGACGATAAGAACATGATCCGCAAGGCCGAGGGACCTCGTACCGGTGGGGGGGGGTCCATGGGGTGGGGTAAGTTTCACCAGGTCATGGTCACGACGTGGGGTCAGTTCGTTTGGAATGGCTGAGGTCCTGATGGACCCCAAGATGCCCCAAGAGATTGCTGGTGATTAATGTATTTGCATGTTCGGCTGGTTTGGATTCTCTTGTACTTTTGGTGGAGTGTTCTGTTTCATCTATATCTGTCACAGCTTTGCAAGCTTTGTAATTCCCCGTCCCTATTATTGTTCTTTCCTTCTTCCGTGTGGCTGTTGGGAGCGCTCGCAAGGAACGGTCATTTCGGTGTTTCGGTTCTCCTGTTGGTGCCACCTGAAGCAGCTGAGCCCTCAATCGGCTCCTCCGCTCATGGCTGTGAAATGAGGGATCGACCCATTTTGGAGCGGTCTGGCTACGAGCCTCCAATCCCTACCCACTGGATGCCAGTTACCACATGTTTTTGCAGTTATTTCTTGTCACATAATGTCTATATTCAGATGATTTCCGATGTATTCAGTCTTGTTTGAACCACTGGTTACCTAGTGGTCACTGGTTTTGCTTAGGGCTTAAGGGGATTTTGTGATATGTTTGAGGCATGCTTGTTGAATTTCCCATTCCCATGGTTCAATCAAATCCCCTTTTGGGAACCATTGTTCCAGGTTCCATACCCAGACGCGACCCATGGGACTGCCAGTTCGGACTGCCGCCCCAGAAAGACCCCCCCCTGGCACCACCCCACGGGTCGCGTCTGGGATCTCCGGGAGCCCAGATCCGGGCGGGGCGGCGGTCGACGTCCAGGGCTGGGAGACGGACCTCTTCGGCGGCGCTTACGACGAAGCGAAGCCCTTCGAACGCTGCAAGTATGGCGCTTTGGGCGTCGCTTGGACGTGGGTTCGGCGGAGGGGGGGTTATGACCAGCACCACCCAGGGGCGGGTGGTTTATAGACCCCTGAAGACGTATATCTTCTATCCGATAACCATCCTGGATGTGTGGTGCTGGTAATCAAGAGTCTAGAAATTATGCACCTGAGCCATGAGGGTCGTGATGTGTCTAATTGGTCAGGTTGTTTACTGCTGCATTCGGTTAGGCTTCTGACTCGGTTAAAGCCGGCGCGTCGCACCGGCTTTCAGGTTCAGAGACTCTTGAATGGTCCCAGACACGACCCGACCCGCGGGACTGCCATATTATGCCAATCAGTTGGGGTGGGCCATGAGGGGTGAATGGGGCGGCAGTCCTATGGCAGTCCCATGTGTCGTGTCTGGGTATGGGTGACATGGTAGGACTGATGGTGAAATGATATACCCCAGACAGTCGTCGTCGTATGTACAATGTACGGCATACCTGTGTCCACCGGTTTGTAGGAGAATGCCGCTTGGTGAAACCACATGTTTCTTGTAGTTTTGTGGAGGAAGTGCGGTTTCAAGAAAACGCGTCGTTTCAAACCTGAATTGTCTTCAGCTTAAGCACTCAAAACTGTTGCGTTGCACCCTTTGAGTACCATCTCTTGCGCCGTTTTTTCAGCGCTATTTTGTGAAGGTTTCTCGAGGGTCATACATGCCGCTGTTTCACCATTTCAGGAAAGCACTGTCATACAAATACAACACTAAAAGATGCCGTTGCGTCAACCAAAGACAGTGCTTTTCTGGAAGCAGCAGTAATTGTGCATACTTGGGAAGATGCGGGTGTTTACCTACATTGATCCCCGAAACCATTCCAGTGTATGTACTGCAGGTAATCCATACATGGAGTGTTTGGGTATGCCTTGTGAGCCTGAATTCCTTGTTGCTGATTGAATGTTATCGCATGACCCACCGACTCCCGAGAGTGTTGGGGAAGCTCCATGGCGCTGGAGATGAGCATATGCCGCCCCAGAAGGACGCCTGAAATCAACCACCTCAACTGATATGGTATATGATGCCCTTCATTCATCCCACTGAAGTCAACCACCCCAACAGATTGGTATATTAGGCCATGGATGGATTTTGATGAATGATTGGCATTGTTTCAATTGTAAGACGTGCCTTTTTGCAGGTCATGAACGACTATCGTGGCATCACCTCCGCATATCAGCCACCCGGAGTGGACGGATCTTGTTGTTCGGGGAGGAATGGAGTCGACAGGGTCAGAACGTCATTTTCACCTACCAACACACACCTTGCGCACATGTCCGTGACGCACCTTCCCCTATGCGGGGCACATGAGGAGAGAATGTACAAAGAATGCGGGCTCCTTCACCAACACATAGGGTTTGGGAACCGGGCCCGGACCGCGAAAGCGCAGGTGGAGGGGTAACCCCTGTGGAGGGAGGTCGGGCACGGACTCGGATTCTTAACTACATTGGGTATTCAGGTGCCTTTGGAAGCTTTGAGGTTGCCCAGATTGGATCAGAGGGACTTGTGTGCCCCCCCCTTGTAAGCAGAAGAGCATATTTTGAGCAACCCTGTGGCAGGTGGGCCAAGTGGAGTTGAAAACCAAGATCCATGTTCCATGGCTTCCATGCAAATGTTTGGGTCCGAGAACTGGGACCGAGAAGCTTATCCACTGTCCAAGACCCTTCCCCAGGCAAGAACATATTTGCTAGACCTGGGGAACATCCGAACCAGGATGTGGAATGGATCCGAATGGATCCGAAGGGTGGTCTTGGACGCAAGGTTGAACAGCTTTTCCCATGCCTTTTCCATAGCCCACCCAAATTCAGCATAAACAATAACCGTTAGCATAAAAATTAAGAAATATTCCCTTTTCCATATGTACCACTACAGTGTCGCAGTTCAGGTCTCCTGTACGAAGTGGCGGTACCTTGCATGTCATTGTGTAAAGCAAGCCTGACGTTCGCTCTTCCTCTTTTCTCGCTCGCTCCGTCAAGGCCCGAGAGGGGCCCTGGGGCTTTGGGGAAGAAGAGAAGGCAAGACTGACTGGTGCTTAGTAGGGAATATGGGAATGGATCCAGAGGGGCCCACAGAACTGGTTCATTCCCTCATTCCCTACTAAGCACGAGTCTGAAGAGGAAAGACCTGAGCTCGGACTGACTTGGGCCCCGGAACTGGACCGTCCGGGATCAGATGGCACTTTGGGGACCCCCGTGGGGGACGCCGCCTGCAGAGATCGGGTTGGTGCTGGGATCTCCTGCCTGCCTGCGGGGGGGGTTCGTGGTGCACTGAGGTATGGTGATTCCTACTTGGTTTTGAAGGCGGCTCGGTGGGTTGGAGAGAGGCCTGCTAGGGCCCATGAAGGGTTTTCCTGGATGGATGCTGAAAAAGTCCCATATAATATATATATATATTAATATATGTAGCTACATATATATAGAGAGAAATAGATAAATACGACATATACATATATATATTTATATATTATGTTTACCAGGTGCTTTTTCAACTGAACAGGCGCAGCGGCACCCGGTTCTTTGTTGACCAATTTGTTCAGATTTGGTGCGGCGACTCCTTAGCTGCAGGCATGGAGAAGGGTGAAGACAGATTTGAACAAGTGTTTCATGGACTAAATCAGGTGAAGCATTCATGCAGCTTGTTGCAGGTGAAGGGTGGACGCACTGCTAGAGTTTCTATGACATGTGCAACGCAACGCGCATTCTGCGATGGGTGACCTGGTAGTTAGGTTTGACCTTGGGGGCACCTGGTAGCTACACTCCTGGTCACCAGCTTCATGGAGCTTCTTCATTGTACAAGTGAGGCCAAGACATTTGAAGAAGCCTTTTTTATTGTTGTTTTTTTTGGAGGCCAGTACTTACAAGCGAGGCCAAGACATTTCAAGGCAAACAGTAAAACAATACAATGCTGTTTGCCAGGAAATCTGATGACGTCCAATGTAGGCATCTATTCCAGTCCCGTTGGTCGTGTTTGGGTGTTGGAAGGAGTGGAACACATGCCTTGAAGCAAAAACCGGCAGCACCACCTGACAGCACCGCTTCTATCCCTGGGATCCAGTCGTACCGAACCTCAGAATGTACTTGGACACAACCATGGCACCTACATGTCTCAGTGTCTCCGTCCTCACCGTACCGATAGGAGGGTGGCAGTGGATCCCTAGTACATGGTAGTACCAGCTGTACCAGCTGTACCAGCAGCACGCGCCGAGCGAGGATGTGCGGCTGCGTGCCACGTTTGCCTCGACGGACTCCGGGGGCATCGAAGGACAACGCTTGGCGGTGCTCGACAAATATGCCCACGTGCTCAAGGTGCGGAGAGGGCGGGAGACCTGAGTTTGGTGGGGTTCGAGGTGGAACCAAGCCATCTCACTGTTAGTTGATGTTTTCATTTCTATTTGGAGTTTTCATTCCTGTTTGTGGAGTGAGGGATTGGATGGTGATAGGATTAGGATGGTCAGAAAGGGGATGGGGGGATGTAGTTTTTTCTTAGTAAAATAGGACTTCTTGCAAAAGAGGAATGCGCCGAAAGGTGCTAAATGCAGGTCATCATCATTAAGATTTAGAGTAGCCTAACTTAATAAACATAGAGCCTCTTGAAAAAGAGGAATGCGCTGCAAAGTGCACACTAGAGTCACTAGAGTCTAGTTTCCAGCTTTGGCACACTGAACATTAGGATTTGGTTATTATCCACCCTAGCCTGGCACAAAGATATGGGTTGATGGTGGCCCCTGAGGATTTCCTATAGTTCCAGCCTGGCATAACCTGGCATGAAGCATGGGTTGATGGCCCCCACAGCCCCAATAAGCTGAAGCACAATTCACATTGATTATTTTTTTGGACCAATTGCAGAGTGTTGCCCACAATGATCCATCCTGGCATGACCCCTTGACAAGGCAAAGTTTGCCCATCTGGGTCGAGTAATTCCAGGAGTGAGTCACTTTGCTTACTTTTCTTTTGTTCACCAGCTTCTGGAATTCCAGAAGCTGGGCGAACGCTTGGAACTCCAGCGTTGACTTGATGGCCCCTAGCTGACATTTGCCCTCCATCACTACTATACATCGTAGCAATGGAAAATGTCTCCAGCAGCTTGTCAATCAGATGGCTTTCCAGCCTGGCATGCATCATTTTTCATGGAAGAACTGCAGGCATAAGTTACAATAACTACAGCTGCTACCAATCAAACAACAAACACACTTACACATCAGGGCCAGCCTTGGCACCTCAGAAATCAAGACTCCAAGCAACCCAGCTGCTTCTACAACATTTGGGCACTATTGCAATGTGTGAGAACTGCAACTGCTTTCATGCTGACACAATCAGCAGCCCTTTTTTACACAGGATGCCGAAGCAAGTTGCAGGATTCACCTGACACAGCGCCAACAACACAAATAAACAAACATCTCACTGTCAACAACACAAGTGAACAGAAAAAACAAAAATCACCATGCCTTCCCTTGCTGGATGAAGGTCGCACATCTCCATCATCTTCAGCACTGCGCTTCCTGACAGCAAAGTCCCAGCTAAATCCCAGAAAAACAACAACAAGAACAGCAACAGTAATGCAGCCACCCAACACAACATGCCTCTTCTTCTTTTTCTGTTTCTCAGACTTCTCAGATGCCACTGGAGGTTGCTTCCTGGCAGTTACTGTACTGGCTTTGGCTACAGGAGGTTGGGTTTGACTACATCAAAAAGCAACTTGGCCCCAGGACCTGGAAGAGGATGCACCACCCTCGCTTGCAAAGAACGCATCCATCCAGATTTCAGATTCCTGACAAACAGTGCATACAAATCAGAAATTGAAACAAACTGGAGTTGCTCACCCTGCCTGCGTTTGCTTGCGAAGTTCTTCCTTTAGCTTCTCCTTGGCCTTTGACTCAGTGTCTACCTGGCCCACCTTGATCGCAAGCTCCTTGGCAGTTTCCCTATACTGCCACTGAACCCTCTGTGAAAATTTCTGCAGATCTTCTGCACTTTGCTTCATCTCTATCATCTTCCAGTAGGAATCCTTTGCTCGTTCTTTTGCCTTTTTCTCTGCATCTCTTGCCCAGTTCAATTGCTCATTGAACCGCCACTCAGCCTTCTGCAGAGCTTGATTTGCATCTTCTGCCACTTGCTCAGACTCTCTCATCTTCCAGTAGGAAGCCTTTGCCTGCTCCTTGGCCCACATCTCTTGATCCTTGGCCCACTGCGCTGCAGCTTTTGCAGCTTCCAACTCCTCACTGTTCTGTGAGACATTTTGACTGGCCAGTGAAAACTGCCTCTTCTCTTCTTCTAACTTCTCTCGTTCTTCTTTGATCTTTTGCAAAGAGGCTCGTCTGGCCTTGCGATTGTCGTTAGATGGACCAGGCTTCGGCATCTTCACACCCAACAACAAATTTACTGTTGCTGTTCTTGTAGCAATCTGATTGAAACACTTCAGCCCCCTGAGTTGAGCCAACACCAACCTCACAATGCACAAACAGCAAGTATACAATGACTACTCACTGAACCTCTGTACACACAATGAACAATGTAATTTTTGGGAACATGGCAAACTCTTTTTCTCAACTGAACTCAGCCAGCTAGATCCAGCAGTGGTTGCTCTTCTGCATCTTCTGCCTTGCCACAAGTTTTCATCCAAGTCCCAACCAAGTCATTAAACAAGTGCTCACATCAAGCAATCAGCATGAAACGATGCACTTTGTGACAGCAAGTTTCAGCCAAAAGTTGAGATACACACCATGCAATCAAATGCCAAGGAACATCCGGATCATCATCCATGGGCAATGCCTCGCCCCCATCATGCCACACATGGATTGGCCTGGGTTCTCGGTCCTCCACAGAGTGCCCTTGCCCAACTGGCAAAGGAGTTTGCTCATCAAACCTCAGTGGAATAGAACACTGTTTGAGTGAGTCTGCACATGGGCTCAGGCAAATTGAGTACAATATAACATTAGCAACATGGGCCAGGCCTGTTCTCCAAGAAGTTGTAGTAAGACGGCCTGGGCGCACGTCGCAATGTACTTGTTGCCCACCCAACCAAGAAGTCACGCCCAGCTTCCTCAATCAAAGCAAAGTCACACAGCCAAGTGGTCCAAGGACCATAAGGACACAGAAGGAAAACTATGATCTCAGCAATTGTTGCAACCTGCGCAAAAACCATTCAACATAAGATCAGCTGCAGACAGCTGCCCTGCATCGTAGACTTCCTTTGCCCGAGCAAGTATGTCCTTCTGGTCCTTTGGAGAGATGTCCTTTCGAGGGAAGTCCCCTGAAGGCTGCACTGTCAATCGCGCCCGGAGAAAAGGAACAAAGTCACCTGCAAGGGCAGCACTGAGAATGGAACACTGTGATTGTCATTACCTATTTATTGTAAACTTCCAGATTGGTTCAGCCAACCCCTGCCTGGAACCAGCAGAGCAACCTGGTGAAATGCACGGCTGCTCATTCGCTGCCTGACCACACAGACTATATCCCTGGGGTGGGATGGCGGTGCCCCAGGCCAAGCACTGACACGACAGTCACCCAGGTCTCCCACATCCTTCAAGTACATCACCTCAAACCTCAGAGCAGTGGAAAAGGATTCAATACAATATCAAAAATGTCCAAAGCAGCTAAATGTGTCAAAATTATGTAACCGCCAAAGCAGTGGAAAATCAAATGCCCAACCCAACTGTCAAATCAATGTGAAGTAGCTGCAGAGCAGAAACAAGTGTGGTGCCAATGGCCCTGTCAAGTTCGAGAATCTCAGGCCCAGCTCAGACCACCAGTTCTCCCAATGGGCATAGACATCACCTAATGTGAAGCCAATCACACAAGATCAAGAAATAGATGTTGTGGAAATAACACAAAACAACATGGCAACATGCTGAAAATGTCCAATTCATCAAAGCTGCATTTGTACCCCATCAGAGACCTGGATGTGCCCTCATCCACAGTGGATCCCTTCAGGAAACTGTCCTTGGAACACATGGACAACACAAAGCATAAGGACTACATTGTCTTGAAGTGTACAGCACATGAAAACAATTGATCCTACCACTTTAACTTGTCTTCAAAACAGTCAAATGATCCTACCAAGGTTCGTAAATCTGAGACAACTGGTCTGCAGTGTCAAATTCAGAGTGGCTGCATTTCACCACTGCTTGGCCCCCGCAGGCATCGAGTGGCCCATGGGTGTGGCCTTTGATCGGATAGGCCAGCACAGCATGATCCACACACCCAAGCACCTTCAGTTTCACAATTGCTGACAAAATTTTGCCGTTCTTGCATTCTCGCTGGCAGTTGTCCTGCAGGATGACCAGGTGATGCGGGAGCCTGTTTCCGCACTGGTCATAGACAATGTCAAGCATCCGAGCAATGGTCTCCTCACAAAAGCAAGACACAGACCAACACTGTAGGCACAGCATTGGAAATCCATAAACTGGTGGAGAAGTGGGGCTATTTCTGGACTTTTGGACAAACCTAGTAGTGGAAAAGAACATGCTTCTTTTTCACACCCAGATACAAAATTGTTGTTGCTGTTCTTGTAGCAGTCTGCATCACTGACTGCGAAGTGTAGCCCATGGCCTCATCCAGCTGTGAACCCCATCCTCCATATAGAAGGTATTCCAATCACTAAGTTGAACCCGAAACAAAGCTTTGCTGTCCAGGTACAAAGAGGTTGACCCCTTTTTGAAGACAAACTGCTTACTGTCAATGACTTTGATGAGTCATTCACATTCAGGCTGGGAACCAATGAGTCAGATCACCAGAATTGAAAGTTAGATATCTTTAGAACACACTTAATTCCCTAATCTTCTAATCAAGTTATCGCTACACATGGACATTTAGGAAAATGAAAGGGTACTGGCTGTAAACAAGAAGCCTTGTCCCCAAACCATCCTTGGTGAGAATAAGTGTAGACAAATCCAGGAATCAGTGGCAGCAGTCAGCATCAAAAGATATTGATCACTGATCACAGAAAACTATGTAGATTCAAACCAAAGTTCTGGATGTGAAGGGCAGGGCGCAGGAGTCGTTGGAACGAGTGGCCTTGCACCAAACTCCGTGGACAGCGATGCTTCGCTTGGTCCAGCCCGTCTGCACGGATCAGCACAGTGCTCAAAGATTTTTCCACTTCTTGGAGTTTCAGCCCCATGCCTGCGCAAAGCCACAAAAGACACACCAAGAAAGGTAACTCAATACTTTACCCTATTGTCCAGCCATTGGAAGTTGCAATAACAACAGATGTTTTCTCAGGGAGGGATTTCTTCAGAAGACCCAACATGCATAAAAGACAACGTGTGCAGCATAAGTGGTTAAGTTATTCAATGATCTTTGGTGCC